TCAGTGTGTATGACTCTGGAGAGATGATGCTTTCCCTTCTTCAGAAGACTCTTTCAGTTTTACCCAAATCTGTCTTTCCTGAACTACAATTCTTAAGATCCCAAATAAAGCTCTTTGTTCTTGGCAGCTTTGAGACTGATTATTTTTTGACATTATCAGTGGTTAAAGGATATACACAAGTACCAATGTCAATGAAAGTTAACCTATATCCTTAGTATACTTGCATATAACAGGATTGTTAGTCTAAATGAAGTAAAGGAGACTATAGCTTGATATACACTGATGTGCACCAAATTCAGAAATCTGGATAATTGCTATTAAATCTAGGGGATTCGTCTTCCCAAGTACTGTGATGCCAAGTACTTATCTATATCGGCAAACTTCTTAATAAAAAAAAAAATCTTTTGGCCATGCCACATGGCACGTGGGATCTCAGTTCTCTGACCAGGTACGGAAGCATGGAATCTTAGCCTCTAGATTGCTAGCAAAGTCCCAGCATACTTTTTGTAGGGAAGCAGAGACAAAATATTTTGGCTTCGTGGACTGTGTGGTGTCTGTGGCAACTAGTCACCTCTGTCATTGTAAAGTGAAAGTGGCACCAGTTAATACACAAACTTTATGGCTGTGAAAATTGAAATTCAATACATTTTATGTCACAAAATATCATTCTTAATTTTGCAGTCACTTAAAACTGTAAAAATGACTTGTAACTTTCATGGGGTACAAAAACAGGGGCAGCTGGATTGGTTTGGTAACCCCTGAAAATAGTTGGTCTCTGGTTTTAGCTTTGAACAGTATGGGGCAGTGCAAAGCATTCTTGGGTAGAACTCAGGAGAATTGTTCCTTTGCAGTGTTTGTCTATATTTATTTATTGACTGCTCTGGGTCTTAGTTGTGGCGCATGGATATTCTGTCTTCGTTGCGGTGTGTGGAAGCTAGTTCCCTGACCAGGGATCAAACTGCATTGGGAGCTCAGAGTCTTAGCCACTGGACCACCAGGGGAGTCCCAGGACTTCGGAGAATTGGTGTCTAATCTTCTCAGCATACTGACTGCATGAACGTTGATTGGCAAGTCATTAAAAATATCTCCAGGCTTCATGTATCTTACGGTATTTTTGTAGGTGAAGGGAAGTGGTACATGACCTATATATTCTGAAATTCTGTGACTTTGAATTTGTTTGATTATCCAGGTATTACTTTGCTGGCAAGTATTATACTTTTGTAAAATTATTGGCATTCCTTGTTAAATTGTTATGTTTGCTTGGCTTTGTTGAACCTACAGGGCCAAATTCTTCACTTGTAAAAATATCTCTGCTAGTTGAAGTTTGGCTATGCAGTAATTTCTATCACTCTCAAGAGAAGGGTGATTACCTTGTTAGAATTATAACAAATATCAGGAAATTGCCAAAAAGTTTTCAGAAACCAAGATATATTTTCATTTTCCTCCTCCCATACTATTGCACTGAGAAACCATCTTCCTTTAAAAATATTCTTAGTCGAAACTAAAGAGTCTTGAGAGAAATGCAATGAAATCTCCTTGATCAGACTTTATAATGATTTAGTCTAAAAGGAACTGGTACTGTCTATGAATAAAGGATTTTTTGTGCAAATTAAGAATGTAAACTGCAAATTCAGCCTGGCCCCTTCTTCAATATTTAGGTCAGCAAAAATGCACATTTCTTCAATCTAACTATAAATGTTTGAGAAAGAAACACAAGAAGAACCTTAGCAATTTGAATTAAATAATAGCAGAGAAAGTTGTCAGGTAGATAAAGAGGGAGACACAATCTTTAATGACTAATGACAATGTTCTCAAACTGAGAAATAGAAAATCCAGCAAACTTGTACATAACTAACGTTAAAATCACATCTGAAACCTGACAATGGAACAGAATACCCTATTATATCCAGTTGCATTGATTTGTAAGTTAATGTGCTCTTTCTGATGTTTTTAAGATGAAAATATTTCAAACCTACTTCTTGAAATGTATTTGATTTGAATGAGTGTTCTCAACTAGGTTGTCATACTATTCAGGTTTTCCTGATGTTTTGAATTGAGCACAAGTCTTTCCTTCTTGGGGGGAAAAAGATCTCCGTGAAGAGATGAGCTTTCGTGGGCACAGAATTAATCTTGTGATAATCCCATGAGTTCGTTTTCTTCGAAGTGAACTTCTGAACATCTGAACCCTTGCTAGGTGAAACTATGGTGGCACAGAGGACTTACAGAGCACATGGATTCAGATAATATGCTATTACTACACATCCACTTTTTGAAATTTTTAAAATTAAAACAATTTTTTTAATTATAAAAATTTTACATTTCTGTTAGGGTACAGTTGCTTTACAATGTTGTGTTAGCTTCTGTGGTGCAGTGAAGTGAATCAGCTGTGTGCACACATACATACTCTCCCTCTTGAACCTTCCATCTGCCCCCACCACGCCACCCCTCTAGGTCATCACAGCGTGGAGCTCCCTGTGCTAGACAGTAGCTTCCCACCAGCTGTCTATTTCACACACGGTAGTCTATATATGCCAATACTCTCTATCAATTTGTCCCCCTCTTCCTTTCCGCATCTGTGTCCACATGTCTGTTTTTGACATCTCTATTCCTGCCCTGCAAATAGGTTCATCTGTACCATTTTCTAGATTCCACATATATGCATTCATATATGATATTTATTTTTCTCTTTTCAACTTACTTCACTCAGTATGACAGAATCTAGGTCCATCCACATCACTACACATGATCCAGTTTTGTTCCTTTTCATGGCTGAGTAATATTCCATCACATTCACGTGCTACATCTTTTTATCTATTCATATGTTGTTGGTCATTTAGGTTGCTTCCATGCCCTGGCTATTGAAAATGCTGCTGCTGTGAATACTGAGGTGCATGACAACACATCCACTCTTAACCACCCAGTACTTCTGGAAAGAAAGACCAAAAAGCTACATCTCTTTGCTGACCAAAAGTAGAGAAGAGGGGAGAAAGTGATGGAAGAAATTGTCACATATTGATGTATGGGGCAATCATTCTGGCCTACACATGATTTAAAAAACTTTATGCTAACTAGTTGAAATAGTTATGAATAGAGACACAGATGTCAAGTCTTTATGCTAAGCTGCTAAAATAGCTCAGTTAGGAGGTGTTAGACTGAAGATCTAAAGGTCCTTGGTTCAATGCTGGGTTTCAGCAAGTTACACTTTGGGGGCTTCCTTGGTGGTTCAGACAGTAAAGAATCTGGCTGCAATGCGGGATACCTGGGTTTGATCCCTGGGTTGGGAAGATTTCCTCGAGGAGGGCATGGCAACCCACTTCAGTATTCTTTCCTGGAGAATCCCCATGGACAGAGGTGCCTGGAGGGCTACAGTCCATGGGGTCGCAAAGAGTCAGACACTACCCAGTGACTAAGCACAGTACACATGCTCACTAGAATATAACTTGCCTGTGGCCTGTCAAACAAGAACGGTACATCTAATTTAACCATTAAAGAAAAGAATGCATTTAAAAACCAAAATAGAGTAGCTGTGTTTCAGGCATCCAAAATGGAGCAAGGTGGCCGTTGGGGATGCGGCTTCAGACGTGTTCCAGTATCACTGAGAGCCTGAATTTTCTGAACTCTAACAAACTCAAGGACACCACCAGCCATTCTCAAAACAATACCAGTCAGCAGTTGCCAGCTGCCACCTCATGGTCTGAAGTTCTCTTGTAACTGTGCAACCATTTCTGATCCCACTCAATCCTTACTTAGCAAACATGCTTATATCCTCCTAGTTCTAGTAATAAATCTTGATAAACAACTCATGCAACTAACTGTACTTCGCAATTTTTACTGTTATGAACCTCCCTGATTTTGTAGTCTGGTGGAACAAAATTCAAGTGCTTCTTAAATCTGTGTCTCCTGGGCTATAGGCCTCAATTTGGCTGGAATAAAACATTTTGTTCTTCCTATAGATTACTGATTCTTTCTATCAGCAAATGGAAACAAAAGCTTCCCTCTAGTTTGCCTGAGTCTAACCTTTCCTGAATTTGGAAATTTAGACCAGCAATGTGTATCAGAATAGACTCAGAGATCAGAATCAAACTGCTTCACTGACTTCTGGTCTATCCTACTTACTTTGCAGTTTTCATTCATAGGCTCCATCCCCCAGGTACACGTGGTATTCACTCCACACAAGGTTAAAGACTATTCCACTTTGGAAAACTTTTGACAATGTGGTCAAGAAAGTCAGCTATGCTAGCGTCCAGGGGTTCCCAAAGTGTCGTCCCTGGAACAGCAGCATCAACGCCACATGGGCCTCCTGGGGACATGTTAGAAATGCATCTCAGGTCCTGTTCCAGACTGACTGAATCAGAAACTCTGGAGGTGGGGCCAGTAATCTGTGTGTTTTCAAGCTTGGCAGGTGATGCCAATGTGAGCGAAAGTTTGAAAAACACCGATTGAGGTAAAAAAAATCCACACAACCTGCGGCAGAGACCCTCCAGTACACTGAAAAAATATGGTCAGTCTTATTCAATGGCAGCATCTCAGAAGCACGGTAACTATTTTCATAAGACTATGCCTTCATCTTGTGGACCTTTAAGAAAATAACTCAAGAAATATGAGATCATTGTGAAAAATAGAAAACACTACCCAATAAAATATAGCCATTTTTATTAACGTAGATATTCATGTAAAACATATTTTAAAAAGTGGATTAATGACTTGTCCTATGTTCTATGGACATACAACTTGTTCTATTCTTTTAATAATGTATTTTCTTTCTTTAAATTGAATTATAGCTGGTTTACAGAGTTGTGTTAATTTCTGCTGTATAGAAAAATGATTCATTTACACATGTACATACATGCTCTTTCACATTCTTTTCCATTATGATTTATCACAGGCTATTAAATACAGTTTCCTAGGCAACACAGTAGCACCTTATCCTTCACCAGTTCTGTGTATAGAGCGTTTGTGTCTGTTAAGCCCGGCACCCCCCCCTCCCTCCCCCACCCCTCGTCTCTCTTGGCAACCACATCCGTCCTCTGTGTCTGTGAGTCTGTTTCCTGCTTCATATATAAGTATACAGTTTCATTAACAATATATTTTCCATTTTCCAGAAGAGAAGATTGAGTACTCGGAAGGCATACAGCTCATCTCAGGGCCTAGTTCGTTAAAATGAAGGACTAGGATTTGAATCCCAGCAAGCTCATCCCAGAGACTTTCCTCTCAATCATGGTGCTGAGCAAATACCTTAAAAGTCTGCATGACTAATTAATATTACGCTAAACAGATCTACCAAGTATATCTAATCAATTTCCTATTGCTGGAAATTCACTTCTTTCATTTTTTTCTATTAAATATAATTCAATGATTATTCTCAATCATACCTCATTGAACACCTTCAAATTTTGCAAAGCCAACTGTCTCAAAATGGAATTGCTGAGTTAAATAGCTTATTGTGGATACATTTTCAAATTGCCCTGCAACTTATTCTATCAACAGTATAGTATGTAAGGGTGCCCTTTTTCTTTACTCTTTTGAAACTATGGGATCTCATTTTTTATCTTTTGCCAATGAAGTAAAAGATGCTAACTCTGCATCTTCATCACTTTTTATTTAAGGGCAGAGTATTTTTCACAGGCTCATTGGCCATTTATATTTATTTTCTTAATTGTCCACTTATGCACTGGATCTACTTTTAAAAATTAAAGTTTCATTTAAACCAGACCATACATTGAGAAAAGGAAACAAATTGTCCACATGGAGCTCTATGAAATTTCATAAAGAAAATTCACACAACTGCATCAAGATAAACAAACAAGCAAACAGTATGAACAGCTTCTAGGCCATCCCTTTGCGCCCTCCTTGATCACCATCCACCTTCCCCAAAGGTGCCGTATGCATTCTAAACAGCGATATTGCCCCCAAACGGCTGAAAATTGGTTTTTGGAGGGAGGATACCTTACTCTACTCTATGTAAAGCAGAGATATCCATGCACCACATAAACAAATACAGTGTCTCTGTGCTGTTAAAGTATCACAGAGGAGGTGATGATGAAAAAGTGGGTTGAGGAACATCATACTGTCCTGATTCTGAAGTGTTGTCTGCTTTGAAATTTGTCAAAATCTTGGCCCACTTCTTAAACTGGGATGTTCTCTTTCTTTTGATTTGTAAGAGTCTTTACACATTCCTGGACTGAGCCCCTGGTGGCTCAGACTGTAAAGAAACTGCCTGCAGTGCGGGAGGTGCTAGAGACGCAGGTTCGATCCCCGGATCAGGAAGATCCCCTGGAGAAGGGCATGGCAACCCACTCCAGTACTCTTGCCTGGAGAATCCCACAGACTTAGGGGCCTGGGGGGCTACAGCCCACGGGGTTGCAGAATCAGACACGACTGAGCGACTATCACTTTCACTTTACACATTAAGAATATGAATATCTTGTTATATAGGGGTGAATAATTCTTTCTAATTTTGCTCTTTGACTCTTAGTTGACATTGTTGGGTTTTTTTGTTTTTTTTTTTGGTACAGAAGTTTAAATGTTCCATTTTCTTGTGTCTTTTGCCTTGGAGTTTCTGGGAAAGCTATTTCTGATTCCCTGAAGCACAAGCTCATAGTAGACTACTGTCTGAATCAGGTTTGTGAAATCCAAAGGGCGGAGAGCTGTGGCTACTGGTGGGTTGGGAGCAGCTTGTCTCTCCAAACAGGAAGAGTCCCTGTCTCCGATGGACCTGAGCAGCTTGCGTTGCAAGGAGTCAGCCTGCACATCATTTAGAATGGATCCCTGCCACATGAGCGGGCATCCTGCCAGGTGAGGTGAGGGCAGCCAGAAAGACTGGAGGTCATCATGGGTTGCAGGACTGAGGGTTGATAAGTGGCGCAGTGAAGTGGCTGCTGGAGTCTGAATGCTTGTGTTCCCCTAAAATCCATACGGTGAAAACCTCATGTCCTGAGTGTTGGTGTCTGGAGGTGGGGTTTTGTGGGGTTTCGAGGATGGAGCCCTCATAAATAGAATTTGTGCCCTTACAAAAGAGGCCCCAGAGAGCCGGCCCCTCCCTTCTGCCACATGAGGAAACACAAAGAGGTGTCGGCAGCTCAGAAGAGGGCCCCACCTGCCATGCTGGCTCCCTGATCTTGGACTTTCAGCTCCCAGAACTGTAAGGAATGCACTCATTGTCTATGAGTCACTCCGTGTGTGGTATTTTGTTACATCAGCCCATGGACTAAGACACAAGCATTGCTCTCATCAAGGGCGCTGCAGACTGACGTTTCCAGCAGGGTCCTCACCAAGGAGCGCAAAGCAAGTGCATGTTGTACTTGAATTGTCTGAGTAGTTTCATTCTGTTCCGTTGGTCATCCATTCATCCATTTAGTCATTCATTCACTCAGTTTGTTTCATTTATAGAGTTATTTATGGTGACTGTTTTTGTTTTTACACACCATTGTAAACACGTTAGCAATTTACCTAAGCGCAGCTTATTAAGATACTACGTGTGAGGCAGGAATCTGGATGATTTCTTTATATGATCAGCCAGTTATCACAAAACTAATTAAGACATAATTGATCCTTTTCCAGCTGATTTGAAATACTGTTCTTTTTCTTATACAAATGGGTGGACCAAACTGTGCCTGTCTCTAGAGCTTCAGTTTAGACCCACACTGCCCACTCTTTTTATTTATGTCATGGGATTGTGTTTAATTTACCTTTTCAATTAGGGAAGAGATGATTGAATTATAATAATGAGATGTTCCCTTCTAAGATATTCATATCTTTCTGTTTCTTTCAAGTATTCTTTTAGGTCTTTTATAAAAATCTTATAGTTTTCTTCAAATAGGTTCTAAACATTTTCAAAATAAGCTTATCCCCTAGGTCTGTGCTATTTTCCCTCATATTTATTAATAATATTATTTTTCCCCAGTATGTCCTCTTATTGATTGTGGATCATGGACTTACTGAATTTTAAAAATTGTCTTTTTTGAATTTAGGTCTTTATTGAATTCTTCATTAAATATTTGTTGTTTCTGATAAATGTTTGTTAGTTTGCTATGTAAAATGGAGGAAATTAGACTAGGACCCCATCCCTCCTGCCCCACCACCCCTCATCTCTACAATAGTCTTGAGAACAGCCCCTTCTGAGGGTCACTTTAGTCCTCAAAAATCAAGGCTTAAAAGCTAGAGAAAGAAGCGACCGGATAATCTGTTCACCTCTTCTTTAAGTGCACATTTATTTCTTATTTTGTCACATGGTAGTTATTCAGTGAATATTATTGACATAAAGAATAAAAAATTAATGAATAATTATGCTACCTAGTACTTCCAAAGGTTATTAAAATGGTCATAAAAATACATCTTCATCTTTTCTCTGAGTTCAAAGTGAAAGCTTTTGGTAACCAGAAATTTCATCACAAAGTGTAGTCTTACTGTTTGAAGTAGATTTTTTTATTTCATTCAAGAATCTCCTATTTTTATTCTATTAAAAGTTTTATAAGGAATGGATACTAAATTTTATAACTGCTTTAATGACATCTATCAAAATAATCATGTGTTTTCTTCTTGGGTCTTTCAAGGTTACAAAATGTCTTACTGAGCTAACTATCCTTACAGTTCTGAATAGAACTACTTGATCATGGTATTCTGTTATTTAACTGTGCTGTTCAATATGCAATGCAAATTTCTTATATTTTTTCTCAAATAATATTGCCTTATAATTTCCTTTTATGAAGTGTTTGTTTGTCAAATTTGGGGATCAGGGTTATGCTAGCTTAGCGGTGGGCGACTCGGAGTGGTCATCAGAATCACCTCTAGTGACAGTAAAATATAGGGGCCTCAGCCCAACAGAAATACTCTTCTCTAATTTATGTTCCTGTTTTAATCTTTAACAATTCACTACTTCTGCTTTCCTCTTATCCCTTGTTCCCTTGACTGGTTAGTTTACTAGCTTCAGTGTTACTACTTTAGTAATGTAAGAATACGCATTTTCCTCTGAGTACGCAACTGTTTGGATCCTATGATGTTCTCACAATTGTTAGTTTCTAAATATGATGCCATTGTGGCTTCATTTCCACATTGATCCAAGAGCTACTTAGGAGAGGGCTTTAAAACTTTCAAGTGATTTTTAAAAAGATTTAATTTCTAATTTTGGTATTAATTTTTAGTTTTATTTCACTGTGGTCCAAGAATGTGACCTATGTAGATTTCATTTTTTGAAATTTAATGAGGTTTGTGCATAAAATATAGTAAATTTTTATGAAAATTAAGTTAGTATTTAAAAAGATGATATCTACTGGTAATTGTTTTTTTTTTTTCCAAGAAACATGAGTTTTATTTTATGGTATATAATATCATATTCTGCAGCCTTTAACAACTTTCCCTATTTCCTTTTTTTCAAAACAATTTTCCTGAAAACTTTTTTGTTCTCCTTTTTTATTAAATTTATTTTTTAATTGGAGGAAAACTACTATGTTGTGTTGGTCATTTTAAGTTCAGCATTCAATACATAATTATTAAACTAAACTCAGTAACTATATCATCAATGTCTTCTTTGTGTTTATTTTTTTGCCTTCTTCATTTTTCAAAGACTGGAAGTTACTTTAGGGTCTCTTATCACTATTTCATTTTTTATTTTTCTTGCTTTTGTTTTTAATCAGGCCCATTAAGTTGACCCACATGATTTTTGAAACCTCCTAGGATAATTCATTATCCTACTAATTTTCAGTTTCTATAGAAAAATTAAGAATCATCTATGTTTCTGTTGTGTTACTAAATGCAGTCTCTAGGAGCTGCATTGATCTTCATTATGAAGAGGCTCTCTATATAATTTTTATAAGATGAATCTCTTATGTTTAATAATTCATGCATTAATCTTAACTTTCCTTAACTGCTTTCTTTTCTGTTTGCATTTGCACCACACCTTTGGTCATTTATTTATTTTTCAAGTTAAAGTTTATTCTTTTCTTGAAGCTTAATTTGTATGAAGGAAGAACAAGCAATTCTGCACATACTTAGGGTGACTGCATCAGTGTCTTCCACTGTTAAATCAATATATTCAAACAAACTCATCCACAGACAGCAAAGTTAAATAGTTCTTTTCAGGAAAGAAATTTAAAAATCAAACCTAGAAATATCTTGCATAATAAAAATAATACTGATGGGTTTTTTTCCATTTCATTTTTATTTATTTAGGCCATGCTGTGAAGATTATAGGATCTTACTTCCCTGACTAGGTATCGAACCTGGGCCCATCAGTGAAAACATTGAATCCTAACCACTAGGCCTCCAGGGAATTCCTGAAGATATTACTGATTGTTTGATGCTACTACTCAGACATTATGAACAAGTTTTACACAATTCTCAATCCTAGTGCTAAAAATCTAAATAACTGTGTAGTGTTAGAATCCTTTTCTAAATAAATTTCAGTAGTTATTCCAGCTACTTTTCAGCAAAGACAGTTATCTACAGACTTTCCAGCTAAAAATTTGAAGGCAAACCACCTGAAAAAGAGTACCAGTCTCAGCTCTTAATAGACTGTTCATTCCAGAAGTCCCTAATTCAGAGCGTAATGTCACACACCTAAACTCAAAAATGTCTAATCTTTCACAACACATTAAAAATATTGTTAAAGAAAAAGCTAGACTGTAGTGACCAAAAATGTTGCATAAGGCACACAGTTTCAAGGAGACAGCCCAGATCAGGGAGCATTCTAACAAAAACCACCACTAACATAGAAGATAGGAATTGAAAATGGGTCAGAGATTTTAAATGCTTGAATTATGATTTAAAGTTGCCATTTCACTCTGTCTCATGTTTAGGACATTTAAAAAAGTCACAATCATCCACTCCCCTCAGCCTGTGAAATGTTAAATCCACCCAGGAGAGGGTCAAAACCTTCCTTTACTCCATGTCCCACTGTCTTTTAGTTGTTCAGAAAAATAAGCAGCAGCACACCATTTTACATCTTAAAATATCGCTTGCAGTTCTGTACGTATCTGTCTGGAAATGTGTCATTTCCAGCTCTGCTTTGGGCTGGTTTCAACATTTGTAGGTGCAGATTTGGCAGACACCCTACTCTTGGGCACTTTTCACTGCTCCTTCCACTGTACCGACCTCTCTCTTGGGCACGGAGGGTGTTTTAGTGTTGGTTGCACCAGGGAGGTGGAACCAGGTGTCTGGTTGGGACCAATCTTCCCATTTTTTCACCCTTTAGAATAGCTTTCATTGAGTTGTATTTGTTTTTGATTAGAGCCCATAACTGAGTTTAGTTTTTGGCTCAGTTTTTTGCTTTCAGTAAGCAAATATGTTCTAAGTGTATATTTGTGGTCAACATATTTTGTGTGATGTTTATCCTTTTACTACATTTTAAATATTTCCTCTTGATTTCTTTTTTGTTGAATTTTTCTATTTTGTAATATGATTTCTGTGTTCTTTCCCCCCTTGAATGTTGGAAACTATTTTGAAAAGTTAAGTTAATCACTTAAGAAGTATCTTAAGCTGAACTTTTATTTTGGGTTCCTCAAGAAGCTATTTCAGTTACTAAAAATTAAGTCTCTATATTTCCAAAGTGTTGTTAGTCTATTGGCCCTGCTAACATTTTCTCAAGTCTATGTGGTATACATTTTTCAAAAGTTACTTGTATTTCTTAAATAAATAGCATTCAAAACTATATTACCAATTTGTACCTGCTCTGTTCAGGTTACTATTAATCTTGCAAAACAATTTTGAATGTACCCTGTTTAATCATATATTTTTTGACTGCTTACATTCTTGTTTTCAGTTCTCTTTGCTAAAATTACTGTGGGTGGCTTTTGTTGTGCTCTCTCTCTGTTTACTTGGAAGTTGTTAAAATTTTCTTCTGAGCACTTGAGCTGGAGAGCTTGAGGAAACAAGTGAACATTAAAAGCCCAGCAATTTGGAAGGATGAGCAGGTGGGGAAAGCGTGTCGGCTGTAGGCAGTGCAAACATGGTTCCTCACCTCTGTCTGGTTTCTCTGGGTTTGCTGAATCTGCAGAATCAGGGACCCTTATTCTGGATCTGTCTTCACTGGAAGCCTGTGTCAGGCTGTCTCCATAAGGTTCTGGTGGCTGTGACTGTCTCTGACTCCATGTGTCTTTTGACAGGGGTGTCCTTCCAGGCTTGTGGGAGACTCAGCTCTTCTGAAGGAGGAGAACTTTTCATCCTCTTCCTGCTTATTTCTCCAGCCCTCATGCCTCAAAATAAAGATACAGTGTTGGGACTTCCCCGGTGGTCCAGTGGTTAAAAACCCATCTTACAATGCAAGGGTTATGGGTTTGTTCCCTGGCTGGGGAACTAACATCCCACATACCATGGAACAACTAAGCCCATGAGCCTCATCTACTGAGCCCACATACCACAACTAGCACCTGTATGTCACAACAAAAGATCCCATGACGAAGATCCTGCATGCTGCAACTAAGACCTGATGCAGCCAAGTAAATAAATATTGAGAAAAAATGATACCATGTGTTTCCTAAGAAATCTGGAAAACACTTATAGACTTTGGAGTTCTAACTAAGTACTGAGTATGTGGATGAAAATGTATTCAATTTGAATGGCGATTTATTGCACAGTTCAGATCAGTCGCTAAGTAGGGTCCGGCTCTTTGTGACCCCATGGACTGTAGCACACCAGGATTCGCTGTCCATCACCAACTCCCAGAGTTTACTCAAACTCATGTCTATCGAGTTGGTGATGCCATCCAACCATCTCATCCTCTGTCGTCCCCTTCTCCTTCTGCCTTTAATCTTTCCCAGCATCATGGTCTTTTCCAGTGAGTCGGTTCTTCTCATCAGGTGGCCAAAGTATTGGAGCTTCAGCTTCAGCATCAGTCCTTCCAATGAATATTCAGGACCGGTTTCCTTTAGGATTGACTGGTTTGATCTCCTTACAGTCCAAGAGTCTTCTCAACACCACAGTTCAAAAGCATCAGTTCTTCGGTGCTCAGCTTTCTTTATAGTCCAACTCTCACATCCATACATGACCACTGCAAAAACCAAAGCTTTGACTAGATGGACCTTAGTTGGCAAAGTAATGTCTCTGCTTTTTAATATGCAGATTTTTTAATACGTCTAGTTTGGTCACAGCTTTTCTTCCAAGGAGCAAGCATCTTTTAATTTCGCAGCTGCAGTCACCATCTGCAGTGATTTTGGAGTCAAAGAAAATAAAGTCTCTCACTGTTTCTATTGTTTCCCCATCTATTTGCCATCAAGTGATGGGACTGGATGCCATGATCTTAGTTTTCTGAATGTGGAGTTTTAACCCAACTTTTTCATTCTCCTCTTTCACTTTCATCAAGAGGCTCTTTAGTTCTTCTTCACTTTCTGCCATAAGGGTGGTGTCATCTGCATATCTGAGGTTATTGATATTTCTCCCGGCAATCTTGATTCCAGCTTGTGCTTCTTCCAGCCCAGCGTTTCTCATGATGTACTCTGCATATAAGTTAAATAAGCAGGGTGACAATATACAGCCTTGACGTACTCCTTTTCCTATTTGGAACCAGTCTGTTGTTCCATGTCCAGTTCTAACTGTTGCTTCCTGACCTGCATACAGGTTTCTCAGGAGGCAGGTCAGGTGGTCTGGTATTCCCATCTCTTTCAGAATTTTCCACAGTTTATTGTGATCCACACAAAGACTTTGGAATAGTCGATAAAGCAGAAGTAGATATTTTTCTGGAACTCTCTTGCTTTTCGATGATGTAGTAGATGTTGGCAGTTTGATCTCTGACTCCTCTGCCTTTTCTAAACTCAGCTAGAACATCTGGAAGTTCACGGATCACATACTATTGAAACCTAGCATGGATAATTATGAGCATTACTTTGCTAGCATGTGAGATGAGTGCAATTGTGTGGTAGTCTGAGCATTCTTTGGCATTGCCTTTCTTTGGGATTGGAGTGAAAACAGACCTTATCCAGTCCTGTGGCCACTGCTGAGTTTTCCAAATTTGCTGGCATATTGAGTGCAGCACTTTCACAGCATCATCTTTGAGGATTTGAAATAGCTCAGCTGGAATTCCATCACCTCCACTAGCTTTGTTTGTTGTGATGCTTCCTAAGGCCCCCTTTGCATTCTATGATGTCTGGCTCTAGATGAGTGATCACACCATCGTGGTTGTCTGGGTCATGAAGATCTTTTCTGTATAGTTCTTCTGTGTATTCTTGCCAACCCTTCTTAATAGCTTCTGCTTCTGTTAGGTCCATACCATTTCTGTCTTTTATTGTGCACATCTTTGCATGAAATGCTCCCTTGGAATCTTTAATTTTCTTGAAGATATCTGTAGTCTTTCCCATTCTATTGTTTTCCTCTATTTCTTTGCATTGATTGCTGAGGAAAGCTTTCTTATCTCTCCTTGCTATTCTTTGGAACTTTGCATTCAAACGGGTATATCTTTCCTTTTCTCCTTTGCCTTTTTGCATCTTTTCTTTTCTCAGCTATTTGTAAGGCCTCTTCAGGCAATTGTTTTGCCTTTTTGCATTTCTTTTCCTTGGGGATGATCTTGATCCCTGCCTCCTGTACAATGTCATGAACCTCCGTCCATAGTTATTCAGGCACTCTGTTTATCAGATCTAATCCCTTGAATCTATTTCTCACTTCCACTGTATAATCATAAGGGATTTGATTTAGGTCATACCTGAATGGTCTAGTGGTTTTTCCCTACTTTCTTCCATTTAAATCTGAATTTGGCAATAAGGAGTTTATGATCTGAGCCACAGTCAGCTGCTGGTCTTGTGTTTTCTGACTGTACAGAGCTGTCCTTGGCTGCAGAGAATATAACCAATCTGATTTTGGAATTGACCATCTGGTGATGTCCGTGTGTAGAGTCTCCTCTTGTGTTGCTGGAAGAGGGTGTTTGCTGTGACCAGTGCGATCTCCTGGCAAAACTCTGTTAGCCTTTGCCCTGCTTCACCTTGTACTCCAAGGCCAAATTTTCCCGTTACTCCAGTATCTCTTGACTCCCTACTTTTGCATTCCAGTCCCCTATCATGGAAAGGACATCTTTTTTTGGTATGAGTTCTAGAAGATCTTATAGGTCATCATAGAACCGTTCAACTTCAACTTATTCAGCATTACTGGTTGGGGCATAGACTTGTATTACTGTGATATTGATTTATTGCACTGGTCTTTTTAATTGCTGGGTTTTAAAGCCCTTCTGCCAATTGGTTCTCCAGGAGTGGCATGTTTCATGAATGGCAAATCCATTTTTAGTAGATTTACATCTGATTCTTAGGCCTGAAACTGACCTGGTGAGCCCTGGGTTTATTATCCCAGATGGAAAACTGTTTAGTAGAAAAGCTGAGCAAGACTAGGAGTGACCACAGCTGCCACTGTGGGCACATCACTGTGTCACTGTTGTCGTCACTTTCCTCCTCTGGAAGATACGAATAACACCACTTGCACTGCCTCTACAACACAGGTTTGGGGAGGCACAAGTGAGATCATATAGGAGAAGACAATGGGCCAGGAACAAGCTGCTCCCTCATTCTCCCAGAAGTGTGGGGAGCAGAAGTTTCCTTCAGATTTTACTCTTCTAAGAGAAACTTGTTTCAGCTAAAAGAGAAATAAAAAGGTTGTTGGCACCACCTTTCCCATTCATTCATCATTCATCCATCTGTTCATTCATCTATTCATTTATTCAACACAACAATCAACAAGACTCATTCCTCCCTTCACAGGAGGAGCAGAAACAGGCAATATTCAAGTGCAAAAGTGATGGTTATCACTAAGAAAAGTAGGAGAAAGAGCTATATCCAAATAAGAAGTTGTTGTTTAATGGGTATGACGTTTCTGTCATGCAGAATGAATAAGTTCTAGAAATCTTCCCTACCACACGGTGCCTAGAACAGTCCTGTACTGTGCTCTTGGTACACTTGTTAAAAGAGTAGACCTCAAAATAGAAAATTTCTAGGTGTACTAGGCAAGAGTACTGGAGTGGGTTGCCATTTTCTATTATATCTCAAGGCATAACAAACCTCAACAAACCTGTTTAATAAAGCTGGCATCATTGACTCAATGGACATGAGTTTGAGCAAACTCTGGGAGATAGTGAAGGACAGGGAAGCCTGGTGTGCTGCAGTCCATGGGGTTGCAAAGAGTTGGACACGACTGAGTGATTGAAAAACAGCAAAGCTGTTTAAGAAAAATGGAGAAAACGACCCAGAAAAGGACCAAATGGAAGAGGTATGATAGCTGCTTTTTTCAGATCACATGGTCATTGAAGAATCATTTGTATTTATTCTGGAGAAATAAAATCTTAATAAACTGCCTAGTATGAGCATAATGTTTGAAATTTTCAAAGAGACCATAATATACCATTTTCTTTTTGTGTTTTATAATAGCTTTTTGTGGCACACAATCTAGATATGATCTAGATTTGAGAAGTAGACACAGGAATCAGGCCTAACTGGAAAAAAATTTCAGAACGGTGAACGTACATACCCATTTCCTGTCTTGTGCTGCCCACGCTGAGGCCATATGTCTCTAACACCTCCTTTACTGTGCTCATGGATTCATCGTACTTGGCTGCCAGGCCAAGGAAGTTATAGGAGCCCATATTGATGACATCTTTGATGACTCTTCCAGTAAACCTGCAGAGAGAAGGTCAGGTGAACACACAGGACTTTTTCATTCAATATCATCCTAGGGTCCTGTAAAACACTACCAGAAAGAGAGCTTAGGCTTGGCCTAAATCACATCTTTTCTATTTTCCTTTTGATTGGCCTTGTCACCACAAAATAATTTGCCCTTAGAGGAGAGTAACTCCATCATGAATCTGGGCAGAGCACTGGGAAAAGGTAGCCGGGCCACAGAGTATTACCCAGCTCCGATTTTTCTTGGGTGCTAGCTTTCATGACACCTTGGTTTAAATTGCAGCAAGAACTTTCTATAGAGAAACAGCCGTGGTCATCACGGGCTCCTTCAGCCGGAACTAGAAGGGTACATTTTGTCAATAAAGCTGAAAAGGACTCTTTATGGCTGGCTCTGTGTATCCTGCACCTTCTGCCGCAGATTTCTCTTAATTGCAACACAAATAAGCTGCCCTTGGCAACTTAATTACTGTGACTTCCCCCGCTGGCATCATGAGGGCTTGCAAAGGGCTGAATGATGGAAGACCAGCTGTTTCATTGCTCTGTTTTTCTTTCAGATCTGTAACCTGGCATCCTTGCTAGAATTTCCTTGAAAGCATTTTCTTTCAAGCCCTCCCAGGTGGCTGCCTCACCTAAATGTCCAGTTGTAGTCATCTGTCACCCTTTCCATCACATCGAACACAGCTCCCGGGGCACTGCAGATGGGCCGATTCCAGTTGTCTCTGATTCTCATGTAAAGGTTCCGCGTATAAAAATTCTCAAAGTTTTGATACAGTGGCACAAAATCCTGTTATAAGAGAGGCAGAAGTTTACCTTTGGTCTCTCCCTTTTTGTAGTTCATTTACAAATAAACACTGAAAGATGTGGAGGAGCCATGAGAATACTCCATCTGCAAATATTTTGAGCAACGGTCTCGGGTAAGGGGATGGGCTGGGTCCACAAATAACTCTGTGAGTCCTTCACCTCCAAGGAGCTTTCATTTTAGTGGGAGAAGGAACACCTGTGGCAATTAAAGGTATCAAAAATGACAGCACAACCCCAATGTTCATCGCAGCACTGTTTATAATTGCAAGGACATGGAAGCAACCTAGATGCCCATCAGCAGATGAATGGACGAGGAAGCTGTGGTACATATACACCATGGAATATTACTCAGCCGTTAAAAAGAATTCATTTGAATCAGTTCTAATGAGATGGGTGAAACTGGAGCCCATTATACAGAGTGAAGTAAGCCAGAAAGATAAAGACCATTACAGTATACTAACACATATATATAGAATTTAGAAAGATGGTAATGATAACCCTATATGCAAAAAAAAAGAAAAAGAGACTCAGATGTATAGAACAGACTTGTGGACTCTATGGGAGAATGCGGGGGTGGGATGTTTCAAGAGAACAGCATCGAAACATGTATATCTAGGGTGAAACAGATCACCAGCCCAGGTTGGGTGCATGAGACAAGTGCTCGGGCCTGGTGCACTGGGAAGACCCAGAGGGATGGGGTGGAGAGGGAGGTGGGAGGGGGGACTGGGATGGGGAATACATGTAAATCCATGGCTAATTCAATATATGACAAAAACCACTGCAATGCTGTAAAGTAATTAGCCTCCAACTAATAAAAATAAATGGAAAAAATAAATAAATAAAATAAAATTTTAGATTTATACTAAGGAATCACACCCCTAAAAAAAAAAAAAATGACAGCACAATACAAGTACCTAAAAGAATGCTGGAGACAATGAATCCCGGTGAATTTCATCCAAAATGTAGCAAGAGGTATTTATGTCTAAAGCAGTTTAGTTGGAAGAGAACTGGATGGATGATAATTTGGTCTTAACTTTTTTTACCATGAACAGCCCCACTCAGAATGTGTTTAGAAACGTGGATGAACTTGAATGGTTGGATCCATTGGCGTATCTCCTTGGCAGGCGACCGAGGGCATAGACCCTGGGTTTGAGAGCTTCTGGAGGCATTTGGCTTCTCCCAAAGTTGAAGCAACAGCACTGTTTTGCTGTATCAAATGCCATCCATGCCCGAGGGACCTGCAATCCAGGTGAGGCTCAGAGCAAGACATATTTGACTTTGTCATCTAACTCTTAAACTAGAACAAGGTAGAAAATGCAAACCTTAGGCAAAGTCAAGTAGTTTGGGTGTTTGTAAGGTTTTATCCAGAGGAGGAATCATGTTTTGCCAGAGGAGTCAAGATGGCTTTATGCAGGAGAGGCTTTGGAGATGGTCACTGACGGTGGGATGAGATTACGATGGGTAGGTATGCTTGGAGGGGACACTCAGGGTAAATCAGTCTCTTTGCTGGAAATGTAGGGTATCCTTGAGAAGAAGGAGCAAGAATAAAACATGATGGATCCTGCCATTCTTTGCTCCAAGCTTATAATGGCTCACACTTCACTTGGAGTCAAAGCCAAGGTTCTGATGGCCTGGCTCTGTTGCCTGAGTTCCCTACCATTCACCGTAGTGTGGGTGAGGCTGCTGTATCTGCTGGGCACAGAACGTGGGAGCCTTACATGTGCCCATGAGAAACTCAGACGTTACCCTGGGGGAGCAAGGAGCCCCTGAAGACTGGAGCAGTGAGCTTCCTGCTCCCCTCTCATTTTCTTTGAATTCTTTCTTCCTTTTATGAAATGGAGTTTATGTCCTAAAGGCACAAGGAGGATGACGGGAAAAGGCTTTGAGGAAGGGCTTCTTATGCTACTAATCCGGCCTTCTCATCTTCTGAGATGGCCCAATCAGATGGAAAAAGATAGAATCTGCATCTTTTGATGGCTGCTGGCTGCATCCATGACACAGCTTTTTTCTGTTATTTCACTTTTTGGTTTTTAGTGACAATGGCATCATATCTGGGGATAACTGTGATTTTCTATATGACCCAGCAATCCCTCTTCTGGGCATACACACCAAGGAAACCAGATCTGAAAGAGACACGTGCACCCCAATGTTCATCGCAGCACTGTTTATAACAGCCAGGACATGGAAGCAACCCAGATGCCCATCAGCAGACGAATGGATAAGGAAGCTATGGTACATATACACCATGGAATATTACTCAGCCATTAAAAAGGATTCATTTGAATCAGTTCTAATGAGATGGATGAAACTGGAGCCCATCATACAGAGTGAAGTAAGCCAGAAAGATAAAGACCAATACAGTGTACTAACGCATATATGTGGAATTTAGAAAGATGGTAACGATAACCCTATATGCAAAACAGAGAAAGAGACACAGATGTACAGAACAGACTTTTGGACTCTGTGGGAGAAGGCGAGGGTGGGATGTTTTGAGAGAACAGCATCGAAACATGTATATTATCAAGGGTGAAACAGATCACTAGCCCAGGCTGGATACATGAGACAAGCACTCGGGCCTGGTGCACTGGAAAGACCCAGAGGAATCGTGTGGAGAGGGAGGTGGGAGGGGGAATCGGGATGGGGAATACATGTAACTGCATGGCTGATTCATGTCAATGTATGACAAAAAACCACTACAATATTGTAAAGTAATTAGCCTCCAACTAGTAAAAATAAATGGGAAAAAAAAAGTCCTGGGGACTAGTGCATGTGAATTTGAAGGATGGTTGGGCAACTCTACTGATTACATTTGTAAGTTGAAATTCTCATATCAAATATATTTTCTCTCAAATAGTGAAATGCCCTTAGATAGATTTTATTATTATTTAAATCTATAGATTATGATAATTATACCCTTTTACATTTAACATGGAAGTGGACATATATTTGAGAGAAAATTTGATTATGTAATTCTAGGAAAATCTTTTTCAAACTATTTCTGTTTTGATTTCATACATTTTCCTCAGACTTTTTTTTTTTAACTGATCTGTCAGTTACTCTATTTTCCCAAACATTGCTTGTGTCCTTCTATTTCTAATTTTTAATTTATCTGAAATGAAGTCATCTAAACTTATCCTACAAAAAAAAAAGAAAAGAGAGAGTGTATCTGTCAGTAATATGTCTGGACTCCGAATGGAATTATAGTTCTAGGTTTTATGAGAAATCTGATACAAAATAGAGTTAGCAGTTAGTTTAGTGGAGAAGTTAAACTTTGGTTTAAGAAAACAGTTGATTTTAGAAAGAAAAGAACCAAAATATTATGCCTACAAAATTAAAATAAAATTGATTTCAGACATGGAACCACAAGATGCTCAAGATACCAGGGCAGAAAGAACAATGGAAATCATGGAGTTCAAATATCCAATTGAGCTGTGAGGAAAACTAGGCCCAATTATGAGTAATTTCAATGCTAGTCTACCTCCAGCTCCATCTGTTCTACCAGCGGTCACTTCAGACGTGTACACACTGCTACGTTTAAGAGAGATCACCAAAAAGAACTTACTGTACAGCACAGGGAAGTCTGCTCTCTATTCCCTAACAACCTACATGGGAAAGGGATTTGAAAAAAAAAAACAGATACATGTGTATATATAACGTAATCACTTTGCCGTACATCTGAAATTAACACAAACGGAATCAACTATATTCCACTATAAAATAAAAATTTTAAAAAGTGACCTATAATATGGAATATGAAGGCCAACAAACTGTCACGCCATGGAGGAGGTGCGTGCATTGTACGGAACTTGGCGCTGACTTAAGAAAAAAGTCTGCACCCTCTGTCATTGAGGTCTCATGAAGGTGTGTGCCTCTCATCAGGTGCCCTGAGAAAAGGTGTGAATATGCTCTATCCTGCCCAAACTTCTGGCTCCTGGCTCTGAGATCCAGAATTTCTACCTGTGAAGAAATGGGCAGCTAGCTCTTTATCAAGATAAATGTTCTGAAGGCAAGACGTGGGGATTCTAACCAATTCTGTGGGGTCAGAGAAGACTTTCTGCTAGGGAATAATCTTCACACTCAATAGAAATTTCTATAAATTAGGCACTTGAAACTTCTCTGCTGAGGAGGTAGGGCAATTTTTAACCACATAGAGCTATTTATACCTTTGTGGGTGGTATAAATGCTAACTTAAATCTGAATCACCGGCTCAGGAGGGAAAAATGAGGTTGAAACCTTAGAATGCAAGAATAATGCCATTTGCCACCACAAGGATGGACCTGGAGATTACCATACTGAATGAAGTAAGTTAGACAGAGAAAGACAAATAATATATGATATTGTTTGCATGTTCAATCTTTAAAAAAGGATACAAATAAACATATGTACAAAACAGAAATGGACTCACAGACAAAGAGGACAAACTTATGGTTGCTGGGGGTGGAGGTAGGGTGTGGGGGAGGGATTGTTAGGGAGTTTGGGATTGACAGGTATACACTGCTAGATTTAAAATAGATCCCTAATTGCCAACAAAGGTCCAGTCTAGTCAAGGCTATAGTCTTTCCAGTGGTCATGTATGGATGTGAGAGTTGGACTATGAAGAAAGCTGAGTGCCAAAAAATTGATGCTCTTGAACTGTGGTGTTGGAGAAGACTCTTGAGAGTCCCTTGGACTGCAAGAAGATCCAACCAGTTCATCCTAAAGGAGATCAGTCCTGAATATTCATTGGAAGGACTGATGCTGAAGCTGAAACTCCAATACTTTGAACACCTCATGAGAAGAGTTGACTCATTGGAAAAGACCCTGATGCTGGGAAAGATTGGGGGCAGGAGGAGAAGGGGACGACAGAGGATGAGATGGCTGGATGGCATCACGGACTCGATGGATGTGAGTTTGAGTAAACTCCGGGAGTTGGTGATGGACAGGGAGGGCTGGCATGCTGCGATCCATGGGGTCGCAAAGAGTAGGACATGACTGAGCGACTGA